GTATATTGAATCAATTTATAATATTAATACCATCTGGCTTAGAATGTAAAATATTAATGAATGGACAGATTAAACATAAAATAAATCAATACATTTAAAAATACATTATACACTTAGAAATCACTAAAAATAATAAATATGTGCATGTAAAGAATCAGTGTTTCATCACACGATACGTTGTCTTGACGTATAAACTCTGGAGATGTAATTAATGCACCAAATGTATTATTAGTTCTTTTATATTTATGATATTTAAACACTATATATTTTTAACAGCAGATCATTATCTAAATATGGATTTTTATTGCTCATGAAATACAAGTTTTAATGGAGGAGTATTTAATCCTTAATTCCTCAGGTACAATTTATTTACTACACTTGTGCACAACGAGAGAATTCGGCTAGGTCGAACCATTTTTCTGCGAATAGAAAATTTTTCAAGACACCATAATTTTGGCCAAATGTCGGTTGAGCTCGATAGAATTTTGGAACCGAGAAGAACAAAAAAGTGAGAAAGTAATGGGGCAAGTAGCACATTTGATATAGATTTTCCGCAAATTAAACAAGATTCTCATATCATGTCTTGCATACCAATAATGTCAGGAAAAACTATAAAACTGTTTCACTTATTTATTATGTTTAATAATAATGAGATAAGATGAATTACAGATTTACCGAAAGCAGAATCATTGTTTAGAGCAAGTGATACTGAGATTAGTGAATGGTAAATCACTTTTAAAAAATTGTGTTATAAGGAATTTTAAAAATACAGCATGTGATAATGATTATTGACCTTTACAATAAAGAGCAATAATCATTCAGAAGTTAGTGAACTATTTCTTTCAGCTGATTTAGATCTCTGTTGAATCTTTGTACTTATGACAAATATGTCAAAATGGAAATTATACGATCCCGTAGAGGTTATGGAATAAAGCGTTTGCTTCCTTCTTATTCTCTGAAGACATATGTAATTCTGTTGTACATGGGAAAGTCCATTTTTTACTGCTATTTATTAAATAGTAAGTAATGGTAAGTTGAAATCCAGTTTTTGAAAGAAAAGGCTAATATATATATATATATATATGTATATATATATATATATATATATATATATAATTGTAGAGGACTCCTGCACTCCAACAAAATACAATGATACCTGGTGCTCTGGTAGCTAAACGATATAACCAAAAAAATACCGGCACCCCAAGGATTTACAATCAGGGATCTTCTTTTATAACAAATATTACATCAACGTATCAGCTCCCTCATGGAGCTTTCATCAGGACACCATACACTGAGAGACACAACCAAGTTGCTGGGATTGTGTACCAAAGCCTCTGCTCCAGAATACCCAGTGACTATAACTTCAGGAAGAAGGAATATGAGGAGATGGACAAATACCAAGGACTGAAAGAAGAGCTAGAAAGGAAAGTGAAGGCAGTAGTAGTCCAAGTTGTGATAGGAGCACTCGGGGCTGTAACCCCCAAGCTGGGGGAGTGGCTTCAACAGATTCCAGGTAGAACATCTACGATCGCTGTCCAGAAGAGTGCAGTTCTAGTAATAGCTAAGATACTGAGAAGAACCCTCCAACTTCCAGGCAGCTGGTAGAGGATCCGAGAACGAGTAATAGATATATCACCCACGAGGGGGTGAGAAAATCAATTTTATATATGTATTTAAACTGTGCAAAATCTGAACACTCAGTTGGTAAAGACCTTTAATCAACCCCTTCCCTCCCCACTATTTGAACATTATTGTTGTTATTACTATTTTATTCACATTTGTATAATGCCAACATATTTTGCGCCACTTCAAAATTAAAGAAAGGGGATATTGGAAGGTGAAAAGACCCACTTCAGTTGAGCTTTCATTCATGTTAACTATTATTTTGCTTTGTAAAGCAATGAAAATATTGAAAAAAACTAAAAGTTCCAAGAATGGTCACCATTTTAAAGCTTGTTAGTTCTGTTAGTCCAAGTTTCTCTTAGTCCAATAAAAAAAGGTATTAAAAGATAATACCTAGATTACTGGACTAATACGTCAACTCAAATATCATTAAAAGATTTCGGTAGGTCTATTCAATAATATTTTGACCTAATTTTTGATTCTCAAGTCAAGTTAAACAAAATTGTTATTTAGCGAATAGACCCAGTTGTTTTATAGCAGAGTTCAAAAGAGTTCAGTGTCTAGCCCATATGTAACGTTATCATACAGACCTCACATGAAGTCCAGTGTAGGAGGAAAGTTTAAGTAGCAGTTTATTTATGTTTACATTTACTTACTTAGCAGATTTAGAAGAGCAGCTGAATCACATTCCGTTTCTTCAGAACAAATTCAGCGCAAGTGACAAATGAAGATCTACATAAAAGAATTGTTGCAAAGAGGAACGACTTCAGTGTTTTGAAAATAAATCAAGAACACTGCTACATGTATAGTCAGATAGTTTTACAGACCACAAGCATAGTGAAAAATGTTCAACTTCCTATTGGATCCATCATGGCGAGAAATCACTCAACAAATTGTCTTTAAAAAGGGAAGAAGGCAAAGATGAACCTTTCAGGGAATAGCCATCAAAAGTCCAAGCAAAATATATTTTGATAGGAAAATGATATGTTAATTAATAATAATAATAGTACAAATATTTTACATTTTCTCGAAAAGATAGATTAAGATCTAGGTACATTCTGGGATATAGATTTTATTATTTCCAAGTGTAAACCTTTTTATTAGACATGTGCAATTCGTTTCAGGACGAATATGAATTTAGACGCATTTCGGGCAATTCAGACATCCGGGTACTTCCGAATGTCCGAATAGCCGAAGTGCCGAATTACTGAGGTCCCGGAATTTCTTTGGAATTTCTTTGGAAGTTCTTTGGAATTTCCCCACGCTGTGTAATTTGACTCATAACACTCTGATTGGTGGATTAAGTAACCAATCAGAGTGTTATGAGTCAAATTACACAGCGTGGGAAAATTCCAAAGAACTTTCCCACGCTGTATAAAATGACACAGAGCACTCTGATTGGTGGATTTAAAACCAACCAATCAGAGTGCTGTGACAGGTAAATGTAGAGACTTACCTGTCAGTCTCTTCATTTACCTGTCAGAGCACTCTGATTGGATGGCTTAAACCCTGAGCCTGCTCTGAGCCTAATTGCAGGGTGGAGGAAGGCTTTATAAGCCTTCCCCCACCCTGCATAGCTCAGTCTGCGGAGATCTCCATGTGTGAAGAAGGATTATTTTATTTTTGAGCTCGTTTTTTTTTTGTTTTTTTTTTAAGTGCGCCGGGTATTATGGATTTTTTATTTGGCCTTTATTGGGGGCTGAAAAAATAAGATTTTAGAAGAAAGAAAACATCAAATAGTAAGTGTTACTTTATCTTTTTTAACAGGTGCTTAGCTAATGCCCTCCCTCATTATTTTTAGGGTGTGGGGGGTAGGTAGGGGTTAATTTTTTGGCGGAGGGGAATGACTAGGAGTTTGGGGACCCCTAGTCACCCGGGGGATGGGGGGTTATTTTTTTATTTAGGGCCACCACCCACCGCTCAGGGGTGGGGGCCAGGGGAGAGGACATTAGGTTCCCCCTCTCATTCTAATTTAGGGCCCCCACCCACCACTCAGGGGTGGAGGCCAGGGGGAGGACATTAGGTGTCCCCCCTATGTCCCCCCTAATTAGTATTTAGGGCCCCCACCCACCGCTCAGGCGTCGCGGGTGGGAGCTCGGGAGGGGGGACCCCTTTTTTTAATTTTCTTTTTTTTTTAACAGTGAGCAGCCACTGGGAGTTATCTACCAATCGGCTGCAAGAGACATTCCGAAATTCCGAAGTGTCAAAGTGGCCGAAGTTCCGAAGTGTCGAAGTGCCGAATTGCCGAATTACCGAAGTGCCGAATTACCGAGGTCCCAAAGTTCCGAAATTACCGAATTTCTGAAGTGTCGAAGTGCCGAAGTGTCGAAGTGCCGAATTGCCGAAGTCCCGAATTTCGGAATGCCGAACCAAACCGAAATAATTTCCCATGCACATGCCTACTTTTTATTGGCTTTAGAATGAAGCATTGTGCACTTTTTATTAAATTTACAAGGATGACAAGCTGAGTTGAGAACCTGCCAGGATATAATGAGCAACGTATGAGTGATAGATAATTTGCATATAAGGTGCTTAATGTTCATAGAAGTACACATAGGACACAAATTAAGTTTGCACATCCAGTTGGACTATCTTAGTAAGAACAGTTAAACTATCAGAACCAATACCCCTGCTGATTCACAGTGTTTTGCTGGCTATGCTATTTATTGTGAAAAGCTGCTTGCGTGTTTATAGTGTTTAAAAACACTTTTTTTTTTTTTTGCCTGAGTGCGTCTTTCTGCTTGAGTTAATTAAGGGAATGGTTTCTTAATTTACACCTGTGTTCCTTTGAGTGCACCTATGTAACCCACAGTAGCAACTCACAGAGCTTCTCTTCATCATTCCCATGATTTTTTTCGTAGTCTCCAGCACCCATGCTCCAAGATAGATAGATAGACAGACGGACAGATAGATAAACACAACAATGTATGAGTCTTCAACATACATGCACCATTTAAGTAGGAAATAGGTGTGTATGATAACCCAGTCCCAGATACTCCACAACCTTACTATGGCCTCAATTCAATATTGTTAAGCAAGATGTGCTTGTATGTAGTGTTGACATTTAAATGGTGGAGTGCATTTGTGTGTAGTGGTGGGTTTTGAATGCAGGGGTGTATTTTTGTATAATGTTGATGTTTTAATACATAGGTTTGTTTGTATGCAGTGTTGATGATTGAATACAGGGATGTATTTGTGTGTAGTGTTGGTGAGATGCTTAGATGTATGCACATATACACATAAACACATATGCATACATTGACACACATGCAGATACACAGATACACAGGTACACACACTGACACACGTGCAGAAATACAGAAACACACATACACACACTGACACATATGCTTATACAAACACTGAAAAACATACAGATACACAGACACATAGGTACACACATGCAGATACACAGGCACACAGATACAAACACTGACACACATACAGATACACAGGCACATAGATACACACTCAGATACACAGACACACATACAGATTCAAACACTGATTCACATACAGATACCCAGACGACACACAGATACATATGGATACACAGACGCACAAATCACACACTGACACATATACAGATACACACACATACAGATACACAAATACAAACATGCAGATACACAGACACACTTTATATAGTGTTGGTATATAGTGTTGACATTTGAATGCTAATGTGTATTTGTGTGTAGAGATGGCTTTTGAATGCAGGAGTGTGTTTGTCTTCAGTGTTGATGTTTGAATTCATGGTGTGTTTGTATGTTGTGTTGATGTTTGAATGCAGGTTTGTATTTGTGTGTAGTATTAGTGAAATGCTGAGATCTATGCACATATACACAAACACACATAAGCACACACTGACACACATGCAAATACACACATGCTGGTACATAGACACACAGATACACACTGACACACAGACAGATACACAGGTACACACAGAGATATAAACACTGGCACATGCAAATACACAGACACACAGATACATACCGATACCCAGACACACACATAAACACACTGACACCTATACAGATACACACACATACAGACACTCAGACACAAAAATACACATAAGCAGATACATAGATACACAGATACATTGTCATACATGCAGATCCAAACACTGACACACATACAGATATACAGGCACACAGATACCCACATGTAGATACACGGACACACAGATACAAACACTGACACACATGCAGATACCAACACTGACAGACATGCAGATACACAGACACACAATACACAGATACACATACATACAGATATGCAGACACACAGATACACAAACTCACATAAACACATACTGACACACATACAGATACTAGACATGCGCAATTGTTTCGGGCCAAATTACAATTCAGATGAATTTCGGCAATTCAGACATTTGGATGCTTCTGAATGTCCGAATTGCTGAATTTCGTAACTGCCGAACCAAACTGAATTGCCGAAGTTCCGAATTTCCGAAGTGCTTCGGATTTTCAGATTTGCAAAGATGTATCATAAGCTTTTAAATAACTCTCCATACAGGTGAGTGCTCAAGAACAAATTCCAGTAATGATTGTAGACTTCATATTTCCATAATTTGAGTATGAGTTGGTTTAAAATCATATTATTTGAGAAACAGTAAGATAACAGAGAAATAGTTACAGAAACTAAAATGCTTCTTGGTTTTATCTAATTCTACATTCTTGGAAACCTTCACATAATTAGCATATAAATAACTGAGATTAAACATCTCCGGTTCCATCTGTTGAGCATTATTCATTTTCCCCCCAAAATGTGTTTGTAATTCATTCACCCATGCACATGAAAATTGTACAATAAACTTGCAAAACTTTTCATGCCTTTTAAGCTTTCAATCTGCAATAGCAATCTATTCTTTCTCACCTGCTCTGAGTACATAACCAATTTACATATTCACTCCCAAATACTGCTACTTCTTGAGTCTATTAGATCACGGTGAAGGGTAGAAATGACAAGCACAGGAGTCTCGCTACTATTTTCTGTAACGATCGCTGAGAAAGAGAGAAAAAAAAAACGGCTTACCACGTTTTGCAATTCCAAAAATCTGAGAACGAGTTGGCAGTTAATAAAGATGAGCGTGATGGACACACTGTAGAAGGGATTAGAGAACACACAGGCTTGGCAATGCAGGTGGTGATAATCCTTCTTTTATCCGCCTATTCATAAAGCAAATGCGGAATGATAGCCATTCTTCTTCTTCCATGAACAATTACAGATCATACGTACACTGAGTTATACATATGTATATTCCTGTATAAATGGCTGTATATTCAGGTATAAAATATGTCAGACAGATACAATCAGACAAGGATGATTGGTAGCAGCCCAAGTATATGTATGCTAGAGTTAAATAGTTATAGGCAAATATATATACATATATAAGTATATATATTTATAGTTATAGTTATAGGCATATATATATATATTACTCTGTAAAAATGTTATATTCTGGGGATATACCAGGTATGGTATGTATTTTAATACTTGGACAAGTGAGCTAGATTTAGACGGTTAACATTTTAATACTTAGACTGCTTTATTTGAAAAAAAAAATGGACGTAAGCAATGTATTTTTTCATTTTAGTATACATAAACAACACATTTAATGACAAAACAGCAACTTCATTGATACGTACAAAGCAGACAGTAAAAATGTTGTAAGACAAAGAAATCAGAGACCAGAATACATTTCTTAATTTATTTTATTTGCAAGTTAATATTAATAGGCTAAGAAACATTTATATAATTTTCAAAGTATTCAGATGGTGAGAAACAGTAATTAAAGTGTTTGAGATTGAATGCACACCTGTGGAAGCATTGCATGCTTAGGGAGTGATTAAATTAAAGAATTAAAGAAAAAGTGTCATCTTTGATGTGGTGAGGGATTTCCCTTTACTCAGCCTAGTAGTCATTGTTGAAAAATGTAGATATACAAAAAAGTAAAAGATTAAAAAAATATTAATTTTATATTATATATTTTTTTAAATTTATTTTTTAATATCATCATTATTTTTAAGTACCAATCACACTGTTATATTTTGGTTTTTATTATTATTATTTTATTATTTATATAGCGCCATCAGATTCCATAGCGCTGTACAGTGTACTTTGTTCACTTTTCCTGCAATTCTCATTGTTCGCACCATCTTACCTAAATTCACCAATTCACCACTTGCGAGCTCAAGTATTTGTTCCCATAATAATTGTTCATGATATATAGCTTAACACACGGGTACTTTATTGAGTTGTGGCGATATCCTAGAAGTGATAGTTTTCCTTTAGGATCCTTGTCATTCTCCTTGTGTAATACAAGATGTTGCTGTTTGAATAAAGTGTGCTTGAAAGTCCACGAGCAGTTTTACTTCTTGTCTTTTTAATTTGCTTTTCTTGTCGTTTGTCATTTTGTCTGTTTCAACTAATTCACCATTTGGCAACCAGTGGTCCCTTAACAATTATATCAACTGACATCATCGTTACAATGTGTCTTAAATCAATGGTTCTGTCTGAAATGCATTTGTTGTGAAAAAAAAATTATATTTTTAGTTTTTTTTTTTTTTTTTTGGGGGAGTTTATAGTAAGGAAAATGAAAAGCCAAGCCTATAAAAAACTTTATTTTACACCAGAGATTTCTATTTTTGGCTGAAGTTCACTTAAGTAATATTTGCGGCTGATCTTTTAGAAATAAACATTTTTATTACTTTGCTTTTGACTCACGATTAAATACAGAATAACGCATATTACTGCTTTGATTATCATTTAAAGGGTAGAAAAATGTTCACGTTTTCTTCATGTCTATGTG